AGTGACTTGCTAATCATTCAAGAATGTACTGTTTGAGGAAATGGAAAAAGCTCAGAGGATAAAGTTCTTGTTCTGCAAGAATAAAGGCTGGAGTTCAGACTGGCACAACCTACCTAAAACCTGGCAAGTTTGTCAGCTACCTATAACCTAGTACTGGAAAGGTAGAGGTAAGAATTTTCAAGGATAGCTTTATTGGCAATATTGACAAAGTCTGAGTTCACCAAGAGACTATGTCTCAATAAGTAATGTAAAGAATGATTGGGAAAGATACCTATTATTAATAATAGGCCCTTATACAAGCAGGCATTTACATGAACCTGTACATGTATATGTACACATACATGCACTCAAACACCCATGAACACTCTACAAGCACACACACACATACATACACATTTTAAAAATGCTTTATTTTTCAATATTTACATAATTGCAAAATTTTTGAGTTTTCTCTTGCAATTGACTCCTACTTTTTTGTTTTCATTAGGTAAAATGACAGTAAATTATTTGGGTATTTTTACATTTAGTATGCCCTAAAATATAATCTCAGAAAAGTTCAATAAGTGGTTGAGAAGAATGTGCATTCAGTAGCTGTTGTATGGAATATGCTTATAGATGTCTTATAAATGTATTTGAACATGGTGCAATTTAACTCTTCACTTCACTTTTGGACATTTTGTCTGGTTGATTTGTAAATTAATAACAACTAGACACTGATATTATCTACTCTGAACATACTTGCATCTATTGGTTCCTTTGTATTTATTCTATGAAATTAGGTGCACCAACTTTCGGTACCTATGTTCTTCCAATTGCTGTGTGTTCTTGATGCCATTAGAAACCATTTAATTGTTATGATTCTTTTGCAGAACAGTCGTATTTGCTTTTCCCCCGAATCTCTGTGCTGTCTAGTCTCAGTTTCTTGGCTATACAAGTAGTGTTGGGAATGGGTTCAATCTCAGTCAGATATTGGTTGGTTATTCCCACAAGATTTGTACCATTTAATCATAATTTTGATTGATTTCATTTCATAGATGATTTATTTTTGTTTTGTTGTGATTCACTAAAAAAACACACATATAAATGCCCTCAATACTTAGCATTTTTTTAATTGTATTTTTTTTATTGAGAAAAGGAAGAGAAAAAAAAAACAAATTTCCACCTCCTCCCAGCCTCCCAATTCCCTCCCCCTCCTTCCACCCTTTTCCCCCTCCTCCCATCCTTTTCCCCCTCCTCCCACTCCTCTCCCCCTCCCTTTCCAGTCCAAAGAGCAGTCAGGGTTCCCTGCCCTGTGGTAAGTCCTAGGTCCTCCCCCCTCTGTCCATATCTAGGAAGGTGAACATCCAAACTGGTTGGCTCCCACAAAGCCAGCACATTGCTTAGGATCAAAACCCCGTGCCATTGTCCTTGGCTTCTCATCAGCCCTCATTGTTCGCCATGTTCAGAGAGTCCAGTTTTAACCCATGCTTTTTCAGTCACAGTCCAGCTGGCCATGGTGAGCTCCCAGTAGTTCAGCTCCACTGTCTCAATGGGTGGGTGCATCCCTCGTGGTCCCGACCGCCCCTCAATGAAAGAATGGATGAAGAAAGTGTGGAATATCTACACATTAGAGTACTACGCTGCGGTAAAAAACAATGACTTCTCGAATTTTGCATGCAAATGGATGGAAATAGAAAACACTATTCTGAGTGAGGTAACCCAGACCCAAAAAGGTGAATATGGGATGTACTCACTCATAATTGGTTTCTAGCCATAAATAAGGGTCACGGAGTCTACCATTGGTGATCCTAAAGAAGCTAAGTAAGAAGTTGAACCAAAGGAAAAACATATAGTTATCCTCTTGGCTATGGGAAGTAGACAAAATTTTTTTTTAATTGTAGAGATGTTCCTAAAACTAGTTGCATGCTTAGCAAATGAGGAAAAAGGGAAGTGAAGAGTGAAGGTTAGAACTGGTTCCAGATGTGGACTTACATCCTTTTTTTAATTACTTACTTACTTAATTTATTTATTTATTAAAGATTTCTGCCTCCTCCCAGCCACTGCCTCCCATTTCCCTCCCCCTCCCCCAATCAAGTCCCCCTCCCTCGTCTGAAGAGCAATCAGGGTTCCCTGCCCTGTGGGAAGTCCAAGGACCACCCACCTCCATCCAGGTCTAGTAAGGTGAGCATCCAAACTGCCTAGGCTCCCACAAAGCCAGTACGTGCAGTAGGATCAAAAACCCATTGCCATTGTTCTTGAGTTCTCAGTAGTCCTCATTGTCCGCTATGTTCAGCAAGTCCGGTTTTATCCCATTCTTTTTCAGACCCAGGCCAGCTGGCCTTGGTGAGTTCCCGATAGAACACCCCCATTATCTCAGTGTGTGGGTGCACCCCTCGCGGTCCTGAGTTCCTTGCTCGTGCTCTCTCTCCTTCTGCTCCTGATTTGGACCTTGAGATTTCAGGTGGACTTACATTCTGCAATGTTACCAGGTCCCCTTTCCCAGTCCAGAGAGTGATTACCATCACTCATGGCGTAGTGGTGCTCCAAAAGATTTATCTTTCATTTTACTATAAAATAATTAAAGTTTTCTACTAGATCTATGATCTTCTTTATTATTTTGTTATTTTTAAAATAATTGTGCTATTCTTTACTTTGTTAGTTAGATTATATTACACAACATGCATGCCATTATTGCTTGAGTGTCTTAAGAGCAAGGAGTCATTTTGTTTCATTCCTGCCTCAGAGAGATGGTGGGAAACAGAAATGGGGTTTAATACACGTTTAACTGAACAAGTTACACTGTGAAATTGAGATTTAAAATAAACCTACTTTATAGTTAATTGTTTACTCTAAGCTTTCTTAGATTATCTTTTCATTAGTGATCATGATTTTAACCTGTTTGAATATCAAATAGTCAAATACTCACTTTTTATTGTTAAAGTTGGTTAATACATATGAAAGTATATATTAAACTGGATTTTTCTTAGCATTAATAATTCTGAAGCTTAGTTATGATTTTGAGAAATTTCATTTTGTATTCAATAAGAATTTTTAAATCTACAAGACTTTATAAATTACCATGCCTCTGTAAATGTTCACATTTATTTTCATGAAGTCCTTCAGGTCTCTGTAAATGTGAAATCTATCCATAACTGAGAGAGAGAGAGGGAGAGAGAGAGAAAGAGAGAGAGAGAGAAAGAGAGAGAGGAAGAGAGAGGGGAACTTTCTAAACCAGCCTGCACATGTTCCTTTGGTTTAAAAAATATCTCTTCATATGAAATACATATTTAGATTTATAACATTTTAGCAATCAACCAATTTGTTCTATTTTCTGCAAAATAAATGTTATCTTTGATGTAGCTTCTAATGTATGAATAAACACAAGCATATCTGTTATGTGATGACATGTGTGCACTCACATACAAATATCACGTACACTCATGCACAGACACCCTCCCCTTGAGGCTTGCTCTAAATGACCAGTTTAATGCTATCTTCACAGGATACAGCAAGGGAGTGTCAAGCTGGACGCTGTCTCAGTTATAGAGCTTGATTATAGGTGGCAGAACACACCCAGCCTTTAGAGTCCGGCTATAAGTTCACTTATTAGACAACCAATTAAAATAAATTGTTCTGGATCATCCTTCAACAATCATAACTTCCATAAATAATTAGACAGAAAAGATTATAAACGAACTTATTTGAAATACAATGTGTCAAAGATTTGTGTCTACACCTTTCTAAGAGTTGGTTACATTTTCAAATCCTTTTCTGTCAAATAATTTGCTTTAATCCAGACCTAAACATTTACTTCAGAAAGAGCGAAATGTTTTCATTGTGTTGCCTTGAATGTCTCTCTTCTCCAGGTGGAAGGAGTTAACTTTTAGAAGGAAGAAGTGAGACACACGTGATCATGCCCAACCAAGCTTTTGCTCTACTGAGAGCCAATAAAAACTTGGATCATTTGTGAATCAGGTTATATAGATTGCTGTGGCATTAGATTTTAATTGATTCTATTTAATTCGTACTCCCTGGTGATAGTGGTTGTGTGTGTGAGCGACTGTATGTGTGTGTGAGAGAGAGACAGAGTGAGACAGAGACTGAGAGATAAACACACAGAGAGACTGTGAATCTGACATCCTTCTCTCTCCAGAACAGACTTATTGACATTAAGCGCTTTAGTCTTTGCCTTTGGCAACCAGCTCTTCACCTCTCCTTCATCATTAACTTTTAATTTGTTATCAGGTTACTCTAAAAATTAATGACGAAGGTAGGAAGTTGGTGGTAGGAATTTCTTCCCAACAAGTTTTGTGGTTCAAAGATAGCTGAGAAGGCTGTGTGGATTCATTTTCTCAGCTTCTCTATGGAGGAGGTATGTTCTCTCCTCTATGTAGATAAAACACTTCAAATTAAAATTTACCATGAAAACTACTTGTAAGTCTGTTGGTTTCACTTGAAAACAACATTTTTGCTCTGATGATCAATACCCAAAAACATCCTGGGGGTTTTGTATAAGAATGTGATCTTGTCAAATATTTGGGCTAGCTTCAAGTTTTACAATCTTTGTACAATGTCTTCAAAATTTAATGCTAGTACTACTTTTTCTAGAAAATATTGACTATTTATACATTCTAAATAGATACTGTTTCTCTATCCTCATACAGCTCCGACTTCCTTTGCTTAACCCACACTCTTTGTACTACCAGCTTCAATGAGACATCAGAGAGCACTCCCGACTCTTCCTCCTTGTACCTAATTTCTCACTACTAAAACTTACCATGCCAATAACAAAATTATTAACCCTATAACTAGTTTAACATATTTCTTCTCTTACATAGCTATGATACAATACAATGTAAAAAGCCATACTGACACAGAAATATTAAATACTGTTGGTTAAGGCACATTTTTATGTTAAGATGGGACATTTCCAGTTTCCTTTGCAGTTAAAAAGCTCAGTTATGATATCTGAGTCAGGCACAATTGCATGCATACTTCACAGCATGTTTGCTTATGCTGCACTAGATTCCAGTTTGCTGACGAATCCAGTCGCGGTAGGTTGTCACTCGAGTATACACTCCTGGCTTATTTGGCAGGCCACACTGATAGCCCCAGCTCACAATCCCCACAACAAACCAAAGCCGCCGTGAGTCTTCTTGTACTAGTGGGCCACCAGAATCACCCTGAAGGAAACAAAGCAATTGATTACTTAAGTGGAAAAGCAACCCTGGAATCTGCAGTTTATTTCTATGGCAGTAGATGAAGTCTTAGTCATTTATGAGCCTATGCCTTTCTGAGAGACAATAAGCCATGAAAACAAGCCTGAAATCCTTCAAGTATACAAGCAAGGCTGAGAAGTTGTAGAGCCCATTAGCTAGTCTTTCTTCCTGGTGGCTTCCTCTCCATCTCGTCTTTCATCCTAGGAAGCCTTCTATGACCTTATGCTTTCCTTTGTACTTCCATCTTGGGGCTCCATTAGCTTCCTACTGTGACCTCATACTCTGTGGTATCTATGTTCCTGCTTCTTCAATATTTTATGAAGGCTTGATTATTCCCACTGGTCAGCTCTCCTTGAGTTAGCATTCCATGCCTTTTGATACTTGACCAATATCTGTGTGAGCAGTGTTGTTGCAAAGTCCACCAGGGAAGGGAGCATCCTTGTTCTTGACACAGGTGCAACCTAGGTGTCTAGTCCATAGGAGATGCCAGTGAAATAGTTTTTGAGAGAATGGGCTTATAGACTTGTCACTTACTGCCCTTTCTTTACTACCCAGTGAGATGCTTGATGCATAGTAACTCATCCACTATTATTCTCTTAGTGAATAATTGGCAAGAAATTTGTACGACAGTAACTAAAGCATTTCTTATGACATACTTATCAGCCAATGGCAATAACCAACTGCCTAAACACTTATATACTCAATAATCTAATTAGAGAGATACATTTAAAAAATACTATATTATCAGTTAATTCTGTGAATTCTGGAGCTAGAAAGCCTGAGTTTGAGTCCTCCACCTGTCAGCTCTGTGAACTCCAGTAAGCTCTTTAACATCTCTGCACTACAATTCTCTTATCAATAAATGATGTTTTTATGAGTTTAAGTGAGCTTAACACACAAAGTACTGTGGGAAGAGCTTGGTGTACAGTCAGTACTAATAAAACCCAGCATTTACCACCCAACGTATGTCTAGAAAAGTTAGCTACTCATTTGACTGCTCTTAGTAGTTAGGTTTTCCATACCTATTTAATTAATGGTTTAGACAGAGAGAAAGGTCAGTGTGTGAATCACCAACTTGCTTGACAAGTACTGCATGAAGCTGGCTGGTACCTCATTCCTTTGGATGATGCTTCATGCTCCATTTGACCAGTCCTCAGGATTTCCTTGTTATGTTTTTGATACTATTTTTCCTATACTGACAAATTTTTCTGAATTATAATTTATCTACTATGTATAAGCAAAAGCTACCTATGAGTGCCATGTAACTTTTATTGTACCTAGTTAGTTTTACTGCCTAGTGGCAGATGCTTGAACTTGAATTCTTTTGTTTGTTTGTTTGTTTGTTTGTTTCAAGACAGGGTTTCTCTGTAGCTTTGGAGCCTGTCCTGGAACTAGCTCTATAGACCAGGCTGGCCTGGAACTCACGGGGATCTGACTACCTCTGCCTCCCAAGTGCTGGGATTAAAGGTGTGCACCACCACTGCCTGGATTGAACTTGCATTCTTGGTTCTAAACCTGATAAGTGCAGGGATGATCTAGTTGCATTAACACAAGGAATGTCACAAAGAAATAAATGAAAAGATGTATTTTTGAATAAATGTAGGAAATTGATATTATAAACTTCTTTGTAAAATATTATTTATTTATTATATTTTTGAGACAGAAAATCTCTGTGTTAGAGTGTTTCAAGTAACAATCAGTGAGGCCAATATAAAAAAAGGAAAAATTTCATGATAGTGACGTCATTAAACTGCCTGACATGAAGGGCAGAGTTTGTATATACAGAAGCTGATTCATGAGAGAGGGATACTGAAAAGAACATTTTAATACGCTATCCCCATAAGCTGTTGTAACCAATATTCAGTAGATCTGAAATTGTCAAGTTGGGTTACTCTCTGACTGCTAAGTTGTATAGAAGACTTTATGAAACTTGACAATTTGTCATTGTGGAAGGTGGGCAAGGGCTCCACACCTGAAGACACTTGAATATTTATAATGTTTAACTATTTGCTCCTGTGATTATATTGGCTTAGTATCAGACAAGGGAATGGAATCCTTTGTCTTAAGTTTCATTAATTTCATTAAAATTTTAATATTAAATTTTATACTAACCACTAATGAAGAAAATTGTACACATACTGTTTGTTTTGGGGTATTTAATTTAAAGTTTTACAGGCTAGAGACAAAGTTCTTTTACTTTCTTTCCTTTTTGTTTTCTCTATTTTCTCTCCTCTTCCTTTTCTTTTTCTTCCCCCTCCCCTTTTCTTTCTTTTTCTTTTCTGTTATTATACAATTTAGGGCCCCTTATGGCTCAATTAACTAAGCTACTTTCTTTAAAGTACTTCAAAATTTAGATATCTTTGGTGGATGCATACTATGGTATTTTTATTAATTGGACTGAGACTGAAAGTGTTTACAAATAAAATGGTATGTTAAAACTTAGTAATTATTTATAAACTTAGTAACTGATTATTTTATTATGAATTGGTCATTATATATATTTGTAGGATAGAAAATACTTCTAGCTAATATTTCTACAATTCAAAACCGTAACTTTGCTCCTTGTGATAAAAACATAAAAGTTTAATCTCTAGCAACTTTGAAGCAGATTGTACTTTATCTTTAATTGTATCCACCATGTTGTATAATATTGGCTTGAACATTCATAGCAATTGAAAGTTAGTATTTTCATGACAGATGAGATTCAGAAAAGATGTTTTTCATTTATAATTAAGGGCATACATTTTTTGAGATTCAGAGTTGTGTGTGGCAATTGTTGTTATCTTTATGCCGGTGACAGAGTAACGTGCTTGAAAATGCCTATAAACTTCTCGATGATGACATCGATAATACCTGGCATGCATCCACTGAACCCGAAGGCACCCCAGCACAGAGCATTCCAGGCAAGACGCTTCCACCGTAACCAGATGGTTCATTGCATACTTCGTTACTTATTATTCTGACCTGTCCTTGCCGTAGATCTGTGACTGTGTTGCCTGTTTAGTATAAAAACAGAAATGAAACAGTCTTCAGAAAATATGGACTAATGACTCTGTGCTAAATGTGAGAATGAATAAATGCTCAAAACATTATCTATTTTAAAAGGGAGGCACCAAAAGATGCACATAAGAATTTCCTCTGCGCAAAGATTCTTGTAGGAGAGAAAGGATAACTCCTTTAGGGAGACAAGCGTCTTTTCTTTTTCTTTATGAGTTTGTGATCTGTTTTCCTTTATAGTCTTAGAGTTAACCAGTAAATTGCTGAATGTGGTGACACATGCCTGTAATCCCAACATTTCAAAAGTAAATATTGAAAAATCAGGAGTTCAAAATCAGCTCTAGTTTCGTAGTAAATTTAGTGTCAACCTGAGCCACCATGAGAACCTGCCCCAAAAAACATCGATAAAACCAACCCAACAACTTGTGTTGAAATTGACTTGCACTGTTTAAATTGTTTATAGATGGATTTGGGATTAGAAAACTGTACATCAGTGAACATTTAGCAGCGAAAGAGTAAGTGGTCTGGCCTTAAAGGACTAATCTGTGATATTAGTGCTCCCTCAGCAGAGTGCTGTCTGTTTTCTGTGGCTGGTATAAAATTTAACTATTGCATTAAAAGAACACAATGAAATGCTTTCCGAGACAATTATTAGTCCCTAGAGGGATAATCACTACCATGGTTGTAATAGCCCAAAGAAATTGCTGATGTTTCTCTTCCACTTTCTACTAGATTGTGTTATTATTTTTTTGGCCCCAATTGTTCTTTCATATTGTGCTTATTTAAATTTCAACATTATTTATGCAATAAATAAATGTGATCAATGTTTATCTCTACGTGGAGTTCCTTGCTGTGGTTGCAGGATTCATTTCATCCCAGAGAAAATTAAAGGTAGTACTTTAAGGGGTGTTAAAGTCTCCAGGTCATTATTATTTTAAGTCTCCTTTCCTTCACAGAAAATCAAAGACTTTCTATATTAATAAGAAACTTATTGAAGGGGCTCTAGCAAGCCTACACATGGCAACTATGGTTCTAACAGGCTTTGCCATTCTCCTTCATCTCCTCTATCTTGCTAAAAACTGTTAAGTTACATTCCTAAAGCTAGCCCCCAAGGTCCGTACCCATATTTGGCCCTTCCTTCTTCTGAGACTGACTACCAAGGTCCAGTTATTAAAGTATTGAAGTCCAACAATCAAACCCCCTTTATGTCACCATAATTAAAATGCCCAATCAAAATAAACCAGCTCATCCTAACACTGGGTTTCTCATTTTACAGCCATTTGCCTCTGGGTCACATCTGTCTCCTCTCTATGCAGAGGCAGTTCCTTTGGGAGAAATACCCCATTCACCCTCTCTGTTGTTTCTTTCCTCCCCTCTCCCTTGTTCCCTTCCCCTTCTCTCTTATTTTCTATCTCCTGTCTCTGTCTGTTATCCATGCCATCGGTTTCTCTGGGACAAATAAATCTCTTTTGTGCTGAAAACTTGGTCTTGGGTTGACTTGTGCTGACTTTGAGGTCTCTATTAGGTTTCTGTATCCATTTCTTTCACATATTCCTGTTACAGAAATTCCCACACCAGTTAGAAGACTGATCTCCAGAATATACAAAGAACTCAAGAAATTGGTCACAAAGCTGATGTGGGAAGGTCATTTGTCAATCTGTTGTTTCATTGGTTAATAAAGAAAACTGCTTGGCCTGATAGGTCAGAAAATTAGGTAGGTGGAGTAGACAGAACAGAATGCTGGGAGGAAGTGAGGCAGTCGCCATGCCCCTCCTCTCTGGGTCAGACATGATGAAGCTCCAGCCCAAGATGGACATACACTAGAATCTTCCTGTTAAGACATCACCTTGTGGTGCTACACAGATTACTAAATATGGGTTAAGCAAGGTATGAGAGTTAGCCAAGAAGAGGCTAGATATAATGGGCCAGGCAGTGTTTAAATAAATACAATTTGTGTGTTGTTATTTTGGGGCATAAGCTAACCAGGCGGCCGGGAGCTGGGTAGCAGGAACGCAGCCCACCGCAGCTCCTTCTACAACAAAGAGCAAAGAAAATCAGCCTACAAAACACAAGCCCAGAGAACTTAGACAACAATGAGGACACTAAGAGAGACTTACATAGATCTAATCTACATGGGAAGTAGAAAAAGACAAGATCTCCTGAGTAAATTGAAAGCATGGGGACCTTAAGGGAGGGTTAAAGGGGAGGGAGAGGCAGGGAGGGGAGCAGAGAAAAATGTAGAGCTCAATAAAATCAATAAAAAAATTCTCTGTCTAGAAATCCCTATGGTTTCTAAGGACATTTCTTGTTTTACAGCCCTGGGACAGCAGCTGTAGCTAGAGTCAGGGATGACCAGATATAGACAGTTCTGTAGTAGTGGTTGTCCTCAGGCTGTTTCCACATCAAAGCTGGACGTAGGGGTACAAGCCCTTATTCACATCATTTGGGGGCGGGGGTGACTGAAGCAGAGGATTATGAATTTGAGGCCAGCTTGCGCTACATAATAAATTCCAAGCCAGCCTGGATTAAAGTGGGACCCTGTGTCAAAACTCAAAAACAATTTTCCATAGTAACAAATAACAGACAAGATGTCATTAAGCTGTTTCGTTTTCCAGAGACACTTACCTCCATAAGTGAGAGAGCCCCAGCCTGTAACATATGCAACAGAACCAGGTATGATACTCTGGGTGGCAGCTGGGAGACACACACTATGGATATTTCTGGTAAAGGTGATGGGTCTTTCAAGTTGTATAACTGCAATATCATTATCACGAGTTGTGGGTCTGTAATTGTTATGGACTCTGATAGCTCTTACTCTCACTCTTAAGTTAGGAAGTACTGTAGAAACACCAAAGGTGGCAGTCCATTGTAGAGGATTAGAGTAGCTAAAAACAAAACCAGAAACATGCCATTAAATAGGGAGATGTAAAAAGAGATGCTTAAAAACACTGACTATTGAGCAGTAGAAATTATAGCAGTGATTACAGAATGTATATTAATACGAAAGGTAAAAATTAAACAAGAGCACTTTACCAAGTGTTGACTAGGCAGAAATTTGGATTTCTTGTATTTCTGGTCAAAGTAAATATTTGGAAAGCTCTGTGGTATATTTGTCAAGTTGCATATCTACTTTTGGGCGCATACCAGAAAAATTTCTAAAGATTTATTGATAGTATTCCTTTGTGTGTATGTTCTTGTGTATGTCTAGGGTATGTGTTCTTTATGGCAATGGGAAATTACAGCAATCTAATGAGATGGGGTAAATGTGATGACTGATTATGATGAATTCATGAACGACAGTGGTTCCAACAAAAGGGAATTCCCATGATTACGTAAAAACCATAAAGAACAATACAGAACTTTATAATCTGCTGTTGTCATAAAGTAAAAGCACATAGTCACAAAAGTACCTACAAGTTTAACAGGTTGTGAATATTTATAAATATTCAAATGCATTAGTTCCAGTAATTCTATTGAGTTAAAAGTGGTATCCAAGAATGGGAAAAGAAAAAATATAACTTAAAAAAGGTCTTTTGCATACTGATGACAATAAGTGCTTCCAACTTTGAAAGTTGTTTAACTTAATATTATTACTCCTCAGATTAAATAGATGCAAAATTCAATTAAATTATTATTTAAGAGTTTTCAGATAGTGGAGTTAATACAAAATATCAAAATTATGTATATACAAATTTCTTGATTACACATGAATGCACCCAGTTACAAATTGTAAAGAAAAACTTAAATATAAGCATTTACATGTAAATATTACCTCTGACACAAATCAGTATCATAATTATGCCAACTTGGTGTCTCATTCCCTAGTTTATGAATAAGGTGTGATTGACCGTGAAGTACTAATGAAATAAGAAAAATATGTCAAGCATGGCATTAGGAATAAAGTAAACTGTCACTTAGAACAGTTACAGTTTTCTCCACTCATAGTTTAGCAAGCCATGGCTGTCTAGTTTGTGTGAGAAAAATCTCTGGAAACAAAACACTAAATAATTATGATTTCTATCCTTTATGAGTTCAATACACTGGTGGAAGAGACAAATATACTATCAGAAACAACAAAGATTACTGAGAAAAGTAAAAGAAAAAATTGGCATGAAAAGTAAGAAAATACCATGAGGAGGTGATAACAGAGTAATTTTCAATAGAGCCTCATCATGTCTCTGTACCTGGATGTAAGGGTGGTTATCCCTTAACAAGTGCCTGCTCATGGTTCTTGGTGATGCTCAGATCAGTACAGAGGGTATCAGGACATGGTCCATATAGCTTCTCAGCTCTGGCGGTTCCACAAGGTAGAGAGTAGGTTTGTGGTGGCAAAATGAAAATACATTCCCTGCATGGCTTTGGCATTCATTGTTGATACTTGTGATTACACCATTCAAGATGGTGACATACTTTCCTTGGTTTTTGATACCTAGGTTCCAAGAGAATACAGCTCTAATATTGTTTCTAGTGCATCCCCAATTACACCAAAGACTGCTAAGTCCAGGTACTTACACTTTTGGTTTCCACACTGTGGGTGTGGCTGAAAGCCAAGAGTGTCAGTCTTACTTTTGGGCATTTCATGTGACATTGATTATTGAATTGGTTTTATGAATTTAGTTCCCTGTGTTAGCTGAAATGCAGCAGCATGTATACCTATTTAAATCTGAATCGTATGATTTGAGGGCGATCTCTCAAGCAACTTTCAAATTTATTCACCAACATTGAGTTATAAAACAGCCGCAGAAAGAAGAGAGGTTTTCTAGAATCTTTGTTCAGAAACTGTGTGCAAGTTGTGTTCATGTTTAACCCTCTTCATCTAATTAATGGACTAGTAAAAAACAACAAATGTGATAAAAGACAGTGCTTTCAGTTTTCAGTACCATCTATCTCTTTGGAATTGTGACTATCCAAAAGCATTTCAGTCTGAACAAATGGGGATTTGGAAATGATAGCATTTTAGGAAAAAAAAAAAAACAAACCCAGCAACTTGAGAAGTTTCATAGATGGGGAAATGTAAAAAGAGTTAGAGGAGAAAAAAAGCTGTGAGCCCAAAGCTTAGGATGCATCCTTTTGAAAACAAGTTTGGACTGATTTGAGAGTGGATTGTAGTACGATAAGGATGCGGTATTTTACTAATTGAAAAAGACTGAGAAAAGGATGGATGTGGTTAGGGGAACACCTGAGTTGACTTTTCTGGATGATTTTCCCTTTTAGTTTACTTTCCTCAAGTTTTTCAAGTTTTGGATATCCAGTACCAACATATGCCTGAAACTAGAAGCTTTCATGTTGAACACAGAAGAAATCATTTTCTTAGGAGCAGTGTGAGCTTCAGCTTGCACCGACAGAATGTTTGCACAGTTGCTCTGCAGCCGTCACTTACGCTAGTGTAATGGGGTAATAGTCTGCTCACTCCGAAGTGGAAATGGCCTAACATAACCGCTCTCAAGTAGGAGGACTGCTGTGGTTGTACTTGGTGCTTCCATGAAGCAGAGTATTGTGTTCCATATAGGCATTGGATCAGTTTTGTGAAACCAAATTAATGGGATTTTCTAGTCTCTAGGCCAACATCAGTCTACTAATTAGCTTATGTAATATAATGTGAAAATCATTTACAACGAAACTTAAAAATGATCTTACTTATTTAACCTGATGTATACGCTTTGCCTGAATGTATGTATGTGCACCCACATGCATGTCTGGTGCCTGCAGAGCTCAGAAAAGGGTGCTGATGCTGCGGAACTACAGCCACCATATGGGGCCTGAGAACTGAACCTGAATTCTCCGAAAGCTCAACAAGTGCTATTAACCAACAAACCATCTCTCCAGCCTGGACCACAGCAATGTAACATTTTTTTTAAAAAAAAAAAAAACAATAGCTTAACCAGACCTACCAGGAACACTAGCACTTAGTATTGTTACTCCAATAAGAAAACAGAGTGAAATTATGTAAATTCTACGAACTTTGTAAGAATTTAAATCAAGCACTCTAGTGTGTGATTCTTATTTTCTTTGATGTGTTATAGTACTGTCATTTGGAAAAAAGAACTATTAGCAAATCATTATGTCAAAGGAGAAAAGACAATTATACTTCCACAAATGAAAAAGAAATGACTCAGAAATAGTTTCCATTGAATAATTTAGGTGTCAATCCAATTATGTTTAGTGCTAGGGGTAGTGGGTGGAGTCTTCATGGAGCTGTCTTTCCATTACTCCCAGATGGAAGAGCAGCTGTGGACTCACCTTCTGAAGCAGTGAGCTGCGGTCAGGACCCACGAGTTACTGATCAGGGCACCTCCGCAATGGTGGACATTATTGAGCTGGAGACTGACTTGCCAGGGCCAGTCGCCTGTGTCGGCTAGAGTGCCCCCAATGATTCTCTCTTCAGACAGTGTGATGAGGTCCGGGCGGGCTCCACATTCTGACAAGAAAAAAAGGATTAACTTCCTGGCCCGGTGATGCTTCTTCCCATTCAGAAAATTACTGCAGCGATTCTTCCTCATTGACAATTTCTCCACCCTTTTCCTAACACGTGCTGGATATTCCAAATGCATGACCATTTATTTTTATTTGAGCAGGGCCTCATATAGCCCAGGCTACCTCCAAACTCTAGTAATAGCTGAGAAAGAGTTTGAACTACTGATCATCCCAAGTCTACACCCCAAGTGTTGGGATTATAGATGTGTTACTGTATATCTGGTTCAATATGTTATATTTTTAAGGGACAGGCTTGTTTATGAACTGTGTTACAGAACACAGTTCTGAAGTAAATTGAATAAGGCCATCTAATTCTGGCGCAACTTCATCATGGTTTGGGATACTTCATAAGTGTGGGCTAACAGGTCAGTACTGGATATGCCTCCATAGGACCCAAACTCCTATAAGGTTTCCTTTTTCTAGCTACTCAAAATATGACCTGTGACCTTATTAAATGATTACTCCAGGAACCTTGTTGGGAATACTGACTTTCAGTTCCACACCATCTAACAAGTCAGAAACTGTTGTTTTGAGAAGAGACGCATGTACATTGTGAAGTTGGAGTAAAACCATTGCATCCAGAAACCTTCTCCTGGGCATTGTAGTTCACCATGGGTGTTCTGGTTCTCCTTACCTGGCTGTGTATAAGTAAGAGAACCTTTGGAAGGAATTGAATGTGACAGAAGATTCTGATTTCTAGAATTAGGTTTAAGAGTGATGAGATCACTCAGCTGGTAAAAGAGCCCGCCTCCAAGCTTGACAATGTAAGTTTTATTTCTGGGACCCATATAATGGAAGGAGAAAATTGATTCCCTCTTATAGTCTTTTCATAGCATGTTCATATGGACAATCAATAAAAATGTAACTTAAAAATATAATATAACTTTATTTAAATAGCTTAAGAAACCTACAAACATTTCAATGACAGAGGTGAAATGGACTGGGGTGGGTTAATTTGCTCAGTTCTTCTCGACCCAAAATGTTATATCTCTTCTTGTTTTTAGTCTAATGTTTATTAGCAATAATAGATGTATATCATTAATAAACATATCTATTGATGGGTTGGTCATAGGTTGCTAATCCAAAGCAATTGTTTTCTTACAGATTCTCCAATAAAAGAGGATTAGACTTTTATTAAGAATATACTTGGGTATGGGTTCTTTTCCTGCCTTCTCCAAATAAATTCTTTGGTGAATTATTTTATTACAGGATTATTCAAAATAATTGTAAATTAAACACAGAACTGAATTGAAAAATATATTAGAGTGAAGTACCTTCTAAAATCTCTTAAGTATCTAAAATAAACCAGAAATCCAAGTACAGGGGACTAATTTCTAACTACCTTTGTTGATCTGAGACATAAGTTTTATGTTTCTAGGAATTTTATGCCTGTCCTTTTAGCCTAAAAGTATATATCAAGTGACATTGGAACATGACTCTCCCTTCAAGTTAAAGGCTTCAAACTTAAAATATTTTCACAATTTATTACCTTATGATTAACCCAAATCCACAACAAAGCAAGGCACTCTGGTGGTTCAAAAAAGCTACATGAATGTTGCCATCAACCATAATTTACAAGTCTATAGAAACACTGCTTTAGAACCACAGGAACAAAGCTTCCCAGAACTGCCAACAAAGTTGCCTGGAGCTTGGTGTTGAGTGCCAAGTGGATTATACTCCACTGTAGTTCTATTTTTTTTTTCTAGAAGAAGGAGAAATTACTAAAACCCTCATTCATCAGCCACTGTGAAGAGCAGTGACTGCTTTCTACAAGATCCCTAGAGTGAACTCTTAATGAAGTCACCAGCTTCACAGATAAGACTTTGGCAAAGAGCTCAAAAGACTTGAACTTAAGATCCTTATAATTCGATAACTACAAAATAACTGAGAAACTTACCTTGAGTCAAAAAATTTTCTGTATCCTGGTCAGTGAGTGCTAGTGTTAAACAAGAAAGAGCGAGAGTAAGATAAACAAAATATAAGCGGAAAACCATTTCACCTTGGTTTCATGAAGCTCAGTGCCAGGGAAACCAGAAACTCAGTCACTGGGAGGGTTTGCTGAAATTCAGATTCCAAGGCTCCACCTCAAGCCTTTGGAAAGAACCTCTGAGTCATGTGCCCCAGAAAGCTCTCCTTGCAACCTCATCCTAGTTGGTTGCACACAAACTGTTGGAAGTTCCTGCTTACATCTTTCAGGAAATACAGACTTTCCTGCTCCAAAGTCGCTCATTACTCTTGGCAACAGAAAGGCTTAAGCAGTCGTTAGGATTCAGTGTAATATCACTTAGAAGGGAATCATTCATTTTTCAAATGCACCTGTGAATAGTTATTGGAATATGCATGTATTACTTTACTGATGCTACAGTGTGCGCTGTTTCTTCAGGAGTTAATAAAACAGAGGCTCTCTCAACATATTATTTACAGATTAATACTAACCAAGAAATCATTACACATGAAAAATAAAGTGAAGGAAAGAGTAATGATACAGGACGAGTCAAAGATGTGATCATGAAGGGCATAACATTTGCCCTGTACTTCGAAACCCTAAGGAATGGCCCACGAAGACAAGAAGGAAAAGACATTCTGAATGGAAGGTGACAAAACACCTGTGCTCCAGGTTGTAAGATGTGTGTTGTGCAATAGTCAGTAGGTTACTACAGGTGTTGCATGCTGGGTTGTTGGGAGTGCCAGGCAAGACAACAATGTCAGCACTGGGTAGTGACAGTTTGGGTGCTCTACTTCCAGGTCTGAATTCAGAACAGTTTCCCAAGACAGGTCTTACAGTCATCTCAGTATGAACAACACATTTTATCTGAAATTTGCTACTTATGTTTCTTCATTTAGTAAAAAATGCCATACCTGCTGGAAGTTAAAAATGGTCTAAAATTTCCCTTTTCTCATACTCATTCCTTTTAACAAGCCTCATCTTCTTTGCTACTCCATACTTTTATTGTTTGACATTCGTACAGTTATGATACCTTCAGATTGATTCTGTTGTTACTTTATTGGGCATACTTTCTGAAAAGAGTATGAAAATATTCTTGCTGGTCTTGAAAATTTTTAGTGGGCTATCAATCTTATTTTTAATAATATGAAATCAAACTTCATAAGACAGGTTTTCATAGTCTTTAAAAATAGTTTATGCCAAAATTATTCCCGGTTTCATAAAGTTTGTGATATACAATGTTCTTCTGTATATGTGTTGCTTTTATTGGTTGATGAATTAATCTGTTTTGGTCAATGGCTTAGTAGAGTAAAGCCAGGCAGGAAATCTGAACAGAAATATACAAAGAAAGTAGGAGGAGTTGAGGAGTTGCCATGTAGCTGCCCAAGAAGCAAGATGTGAGGTAACAAATCAATAACCTCGTGGTAAAATATAAAATAATATAAATGGGTTAATTTAAGATGTGAAAGCTAGCTAGGAATATGCCTAAGTCTTTGGTCAAACAATATTGTAACTAATAACGTTTTCTTGTGATTATTTGGGTCTGGGTAGTCGGAAAATGAAAGCACAGTCTCTATCTCCAAGTTTGTGCATTTCCTTTGCTTTTGTAAGCATCAGTAGGGCCAAGTCATCCTGTTGGAAGTAGGAAAAACAAAGACATCTGATCACTTTTCTGCCTTCTTTGAACAAAACAGACTTGAGTTTGAATCCTAACTGCCAACATATTGACTCTTTGACCTGAACCCTTATCTATCAATGTTTCCTAAATGTTGTCAGTAAACAAACCTATGGGGATATCCATAAGCTTCTTGTTTCATTGTTCTGTCGAAGTATTCTGTTAGAGTTCTTGCTCCCCGCCCCCACCATCAGGTAAAGCTTCTTCTTTCCACATCTTAGGATATGGAGATCCTTCTCATGTTTGAGTCTATCTGTCCTCTAGTCTCTTTTCTGGATACCTGTATAAGTTGCTGTATTTATTGGATAGGCTTGACCTGATGGATTCTTTCTCTTGCTTCTTCATTTTTTTTTTCATGTTTTGCAAAACAAGCAAGGGTCTTATATGTACAATGGAAATGCTCTCTTCTAAACTGTGTCCTGACTTTGTATATCTTCTCTTGATTGTCAAGTCTGTTATCTAACAGTTAGACTAGTTTTTTGTTTCAGCTTGCTATGAGTCTCAGGGAGGTAGAAACTGCTATTGATTCATTTGCAAAATTACCCAGCACACTGCCAAATATATAACAAGTACCCAGGAAGAACTTTGGAAGTATACCGTAATGTGTAGGAGAAGAGGTAATATTCGCTTACTTAGACTGGTCTGTGAGTGATCACAATGTAAAGCATTTAAGTTTTTAAAAAGTCCCATAGTCTTTAAAGTTTAAAAACTTTAAAAGTTTAGTCTCTTTAAAATATACAGTGTCACTTTAAAATTGCAAAGTTTCTCAAAGTATCAAAGGTCTCATAACTGTGTGTTCTATAAAATCAAAATAAGTAAAATACTTCCTTATTCCAAGAGGGAATAACCAGAGCATAGACACTATCAAATCAAAGCAAAACAAAAGTCCTATAGTACATACCTCAGTGTCAGACATCTGGAACTCACCCATGATCCTTTCCCATAAGGGTTTGGCAGTTCAAGCTCTGTCCCCTCAGTAGACTCTTGCCAGCTTTACGCCATACCTACTTTTGTTCTTGGTAATCACCTCATGGTACTGGCATCTACAAAATGCTTGGTCCTCTTGCAACTGGGTTGTATCTAAACCAATAGCCTTTCCTGGGCTCTCTTTGAGGACTGCATGATGCCAAGCCTAAAGTTCTCTGCATAATCCCTTTAATCCTGGAATTTCTGCTGCAACTGAGACTGCGCCTCCACCAGTAACCTCTCCTGGCTTCTCCCTGCTTCATGATCTCTTTATCTTCAAAGCCAGTATGACCTAGGAAACTTTTACTTCTTACCAAGTTCAGCGGCCAGACCCAGCTGTAACCTAAGGCTCCTCTGGACCACAGTTTCTGTGTGATGACCCCGAGGAAACATTTGCCAGAAAATTTCCCCTTAACGATCCTGGCCTCTTGTTAATCACAGCTAATCCTTCAGCTGCAGCTAACTAGAGCCACAGATTTTTAATTCAAAACATTGAATGGCCCCAACCGAGTCTATAAGTGTCTCATAAACCTCCCTTTAACATTTCACAAGCCGTGCCATTGACCTCTGTTTCAATCTCAGTATTATCTTGTGAGTTCCCATAATAGCTTATTATGCTCTGAACATTCAATGGCTTTTCTAGCCTGAAGTGACAAAGTCCTTACACAATTTGCCCAAAACCAATCTCGTCTATCACAGAAATGAGCCTGATATCAATTTTTGTGTTAATTAGGTTTCTATTGCTGTGATGAAACACCATAATCAAGAGTGACATGCTGTGTGTGTGTGTGTGTGTGTGTGTGTGTGTGTGTGTAAGGTTTGTTTTGGCTTACAACACCAGATCACAATCCATCACTGGGAGAAGTCAGGGCAGGAAGTTAAGGCAGGAACCTGGAGGCAGGAACTGAAGTAGAGACCATGCAGGAGTGCTGCTTACTGACTGGCTCATCTAAATTGCTCAATTTTTTTTTAAATACACTCCAGGACCACTTCCCTGGTGGTACTGACTCAAACAACTGGGCCCTCTCATATCATTCCTAAAGACAGAAAATGACCCAAAGACTTGCCTACAGGCTAATATTATAAAAGCATTTTCTCAGTTGACTTTCCTCCTCTCCGATAACCCTAGTTTGTGTCGAGTGGAGAAAAATCTAGCAACACAATACCCATCAGTAATTTACAAGTATGCAGAGAAAAGTGGTATATAAGGCCAGTGGAATATTACATAGCAATAAAACAGCAGAATGCTGTCATTTGAAACAACATAAAACAGGAAGGCATTGTCACTAATAAGTCAGGCTCAAGATAACAAATAATGCATGTTCTCATTTTCATGTGAAAACTAAAACACTAAACTTAAAGAGGTATGGAGTAGGATAGTTTTTATCTACCCCTGTAAAGGGTATCTAGGAGGGAAGAATGGAGAGAGGACAGACAACGTGATGGCAAGTAAGGATGGGTAGGAAGGATCAATTTTCATGTTCTACTGCTGTCATGAACTATGATTGACAACTATGAATGAATATTTTAAAATACTTACCAGAGAAGACTTTAACTGTCCCCTAAGCAAAGAACTGTTGAATGTCTGAATTGATAGCTAAGCCGGTTTCTCTGATCTAATCTTTATGTAGTGCATAGGTATTGAAATGCCGCAGTACCCTGTATATAGGTCTAGTGACTACATGTTAGTGGGGGACAATTCTGCATTCTGTCAATTATGTTTTAAGCAAATGCTGATTGGCCAATAGCCAGGCAGGAAGTATAGGTGGAACAACCAGACAGGAAGTAGAGGCGGGGCAATGAGAACAGGCGTGTTCTGGGAAGAAGGAAGCTCTTCCCACAGTCCTGTTCAGACACCAAAGAAGCAAGATGTGACCTACCCCACTGAAAAAGGTACTAAGCCATGTGGCTAACTAGAATAATGGTAATATAAGTTATATGAGCTAATACGAAGCCTGAGCTAATGGGCCAATCAGTTTTATAACTTATGTAGACTTCTATGTGATTCTTTGGGACCTACCGGCTGTGAGAACTGGACAGGACAGAAACCCCAACAAGCAACCCGCTCCTCATGTTACAACATGTCAATTCAAATATATTTTAAGCATTTTTACTTATTTGCAAATTTTGTCATAATAAATTTTATAAATCTAAAGAATCATTTTCTCATTATTCTTATGCAAATTTGAGATATCAGTCCTGAATTATATTCCCATTTCACAAAGATAAAACTGAGGACATAAATCCTTTTAAATTCCAACCTCTAAAATTCACCCCTATTGGAACCATCTTAACTTATGTAATCAATTTTAGAAAGAAAATGATTTTTTTTTTTATCATGCTGTGTCATTCTATACAAGGCTCAAAACAATAGAAAAAGACTTGGTAGAACAAGTTAAAATACGTTGCCCTTGTGTGGACAGTACAAAATAGATCTCTTCTTATGTTGAAATTATTGTATTTAGGAAGAAAATCAAATCTTCAAAATATTTATGACTAGTAAAAGAGAAAAATTTTAGACTGTTTGTGTTAGAGAACTATATATTATATTTAGAATTGTAGTACAGTTTTGGTGGCTCAATTACAAATAATGAGGTAAGATTCTCATTTAATTAATATGTGAATTTGAATGAGTAAATTTGTAACCTATATTAAAACGAAAAGGCATAGAAATGATACTTGCATGTTATCTCATTTGAAGGGGCTATTTCCAAGTTTCCAGAGTTATTCAGTATTCGTAGCACAGATTGGATTCTGCTTTTCATGGTTTTTTTATTGGTACGTTTACTAGATCGAAATTTCATGACAGCATCTGCGATCACACCATTCCCTTCTTTCCTGAAAGTCAAAAGAAACAGACACCTTCAATACCTTTGTGCTGTTTATATGCTCTTGATGAGACCATCTTAAAAGAATTCACTTGGGAACACGTTTGCATAACGGGCACACTTAATGATATCTCACAATGCTATCTCTGAAATTTGGTTTTAACCCAGCCCACCATAATCACCATACCGCATAGCATTTTGAAACCAGAATGCTACCACCATGTGACTTTTCATAAACTATTTAAGTTTCTTAATACACTATGCCCAGAAATCTTACTGATTTTAATGGTTTTCTGTGAAGATTATATGCATAAATTGATAAAGAACTTTTGGAAAGAATGCATGGAAAACACTAAGGTGCACCATAATAACCATTACCTGTTATTAGACTTACCAAGTTGAGATAAATATTTATTGTCTTAAACTAACTTAAAAGTTGATGAGTTTTCAAATTTATGTGAGTAAAACTGATGTTTTACTCACAGATGCATTCATCTGACCACAACAACAAATTTATAGGCATATATTAAGATTTTATTTTTCTTTTTATTGACCACAGAGACTCATTTTTCACAATGAAATTGATATCAAAACCTAGATAATTCTACTTTATTTCATATCAACAATGTTAGGTTGAAAGTGGGCCTTCAAATAGTAGTGTTGGTGGCAATGACCTAAACTGAGTGTCTCTGACTGGATAAACAGAAGGATTGTTATTAGTTAACAGAAGCCTAGATTCGGAATTACTAAGGAATTCTGTAAGGCTGGCCTATGTTTATTATGAAAGCCACTACCTCCTTTGTCTACCTCTAAGATCAACCACTGTGGGCTAAGGCATCCAGTTCTCAAACAAGTTCTACCAGCTCCAAGACTCCCACCCCACTGACTATCATTGACTAAAATTGGATTGCTTTCCTGACAAGTGTTGTTCTCCATCCCCTAGATAGCAATTTGATCTTATCCCCCCACCCAAAAAAAAAACCATTTCTTTCTACCCATGGAATGATCCAGTTTGATGGTTTCATTGAGCCCTCACTTACAAATAATTAACATTATGGGCCACCTCCAACATCTGGTCTTGGCTTGTGTTCTTTCTAGTTTTATGTCAATTTGTCACAAGCTATAGTTATCAATCAGGAGGGGATCTTGATTAAAAAATGCTTCCATAAAATCAGGCTGTAGAGCTGGGTGGGGGTGGTATATGCCTTTAATCCCAGCACTTGGGAGGCTGGGGTGGGGGCAGATCTCTGTGAGTTCGAGGCCAGCCTAGGCTACAGAGTGAGTTCCAGGCCAGCCAGGGCTTCACAGAGAAACCATGTCTCAGCAAAACAAACAAACAAACAAACAAACAAATAATAAGATCAGGCTGTAGAATATTTTCTAAATTAGTCATTGATGTGGGAGGACCCAGCCTAGTGCAGGTGTTAACACCCTTGGCTGGGAGTCCCAGGTTCAAGAAGGAATCAGGCAGAGCAAGGCATGAGGAGCAAGCTAGTAAGCAGCACCACTCCATGGACTCTGCATCAGCTCCTCCCTCCAAGTTCCAGCTCAGTTTGAGTTCCTGTCCCGACTTCTCTCAGTGATGAACGGTGATATGGAAGTATAAACCACATAAACCCTTTTCTACCCAGGTTGTGTTTGGTTATGGTGTTTCATATCTTGGAGTAACTCTAAGCAAACAAGTGGAAGACTTGTATGGCAAGAACATTAAATCTTTGAAGAAAGAAATTGAAGAAGACACCAGAAAGTGAAAAGATCTCCCATGCTCTTGGGTAGGCAGAAGTAACAGTACAATGACAATCTTACCAAAAGCAATCTACAGATTCAATGCAATGCCCATCAAAATCACAGAAAAATTCTTCACAGACCTCAAAAATAACAGTACTCAATTTCATATAAAAAAGCAAAAAACCCAGGATAGCCAAAACAATCCTGTATAATAATGGAACTTCTGGAGGCATCAAAAACCCTGACATCAAACTCTACTACAGAGCCACAGTACTGAAAACAGCCTGATATATTGGCATAAAAACAGACAGGAGGACCAATGGAACTGAGTCAAAGACCCAGATATCAATCCACTTACCTAAGAATACCTGATTTTTGACAAAGAAGCAAAAAAAAAATCAAATGAAAAAAAGAAAGCATAATTAACAAATGTTTCTGGCATAACTGGATATAAACATGTAGAAGAATGAAAATAGATACATATCTATCACCATGCACAAAATTTAAGTCCAAATTGGATTAAAGACCTCAACATAAAGCCAGTCACACTGAACCTTATAGAAGAGAAAGTGGGAAGTACACTTGAATGCATTGGCACAGGAGACACTTCCTAAATATAATCCCAGTAGCACAGACACTGAGAGAAACAATTAATAAATGGGACCTCCTGAAACTGAAAAGCTTCTTTAAAGCAAAGGACATGGTCAACAAGACAAAACGACATCCTACAGACTGGGAAAAGATCTTCACTAACCCCACATCAGACAGAGGTCTGATCTCCAAAATATACAAAGAACTCAAGAAATTGGTCATCAAAAGAACAAATAATCCAATTTAAAATATGGGGTTCAGACCTAAACAGAGAACTCTCAACAGAGGAATCTAAAATGGCTAAAAGACACTTAATGAAATGCTCAACATCCTTAGCCATCGGAGAAATACAAAGCAAAACAACTCTGAGATTCCATCTTATACCTATAAGAATAGCCAAAATCAAAAACACTGATGCAACTTATGCTGGAGAGGATGTGAGCTAAAGGGAACACTCTTTCATTGCTGGTGGGAGTGAAAGCTGGTACAGCTGCTTTGGATATCAATATGGCAATTTCTCAGAAAATTAGTAAACAATCTTCCTAAATACCCAGGAATATACAGGTATATACCCAAAGATGTTCAATTGTCCCACAAGGACACGTATTCAACTATGTTCATAGCAGCTTTGTTTGTCATAGCCAGAACCTGGAAACAACGTAAATGCTCCTTGACTGAAGAATGGATAAGGAAAATGTAGTACACTTACATAATGAAGTACTATCCAACAGAAAAAAATGACATCTTAAAATTTGAAAGCAAATGGATGGTCTAGAAAACATCATATTGAGTGAGGTAACCCAGATCCAGAAAGATAAATATCATATGTACTCACTCATAATTGGCTTTTAGACATAAAGCAAAGAAAACCAGGACAATTCACAATCCCAGAGAACCTAGACAACAATAAGGACCCTAAGAGAGACATACATGGATCTAATCTACATGGGAAGTGGAAAAAGACAAGATCTCCTGAGTAAACTGGGAATGTGGGAAACATTCTAGATGCCCTGGAAACAACCTAGATGCCCTTCAATGGAAGAATGGATGAAGAAAGTATGGAATATATACATATTAGAGTACTACTCAGCAGTAAAAAAAATGACTTCTTGAATTTTGCATGCAAATGGACGGAAATAGAAAACACTATCCTGAGTGAGGTTATTCAGACCCAAAAAGAGGAACATGGGATGTACTCACTCATAATTGGTTTCTAGCCATAAATAAAGGACATTGAGCCTATAATTCGTGATCCTAGAGAAGCTAAATAAGAAGGTGAACCCAAAGAAAAACATAAAGGCATCCTCCTGGACATTAACCTTCATCAGGCTATGAAAGGAGACAGAGACCGACATTGGAGCACCGGACAGAAATCTCAAGGTCCAAATCAGGAGCAGAAGGAGAGAGAGCACAAGCAAGGAACTCAGGACCGCAAGGGGTGCACACTGAGACAATGGGGGATGTTCTATCGGGAACTCACCAAGGCCAGCTGGCCTGGGTCTAAAAAAGCCTGGGATAAAACCGGACTCGCTGAACATAGCGGACAATGAGGACTACTGAGAACTCAAGAACAATGGCAATGGGTTTTTTATCCTACTGCACGTACTGGCTTTGTGGGAGCCTAGGCAGTTTGGATGCTCACCTTACTAGACCTGGATGGAGGTGGGCGGTCCTTGGACTTCCCACAGGGCAGGGAACCCTGATTGCTCTTTGGGCTGACGAGGGAGGGGGACTTGATTGGGGGAGGGGGAGGGAAATGGGAGGTGGTGGCAGGGAGGAGGCAGAAATCTTTAATAAATAAATAAATAATTTAAGTTGTTTAAAAATATGGGTGTGTTTATTCATATCTGGGGATGAAAGATCACCATGACAGAGATGCAATTTCAAGAATAATCAACAGTGACCGTGAAGCCACTGAAAGAGGAGAGTGTGACCTGGGATATGTGACTCAGAAAGCACTCTCATGTTCAACCTGTGAGGATCATACTAGAGCTAGCAAAGGAAACAGAGAGGATATCTAGAAAGGAAGCAGCCAAATAATGACCGTGAAGAGTCTTAAGAGGCAGGGAATGATATTTCAAGGACACGCCAACAATGCCAAATGGTGCTCAGAGATCCAAGAGTAAAACTGAAGTAATTTTCTTGGATTTTGTGATTTGGATGCTGGTGATGAAATTGGCAAGAATACCTTACATTTTGGAGTGTGCTCAGAAGACAGAATACAGTGACAAGTGAGACATTAACAAAAGGAACAAAAATGTGGATGGCTTTTTTCCATCTCCTCCTTCAGTAAAGGTTTGAACCTTTATCATTGCAAGCTAGTGCAGACACAACAAATCACCCAAAGGAATGCACACTGAATAGATAGAAATGTGGTTTGTAACCTTTCTGTAGTCTCTCCCTCAGCCTCTTATTCCTCCTCAAAGCTCAATTTAAACACAATACTGTCTATTTTTGTGATGTTAATTAGTCCTTGAGAAAGAATTCATGCACCTTCTTGCACGAATTTTCATATTGCCACATGAAGGACTGAGCAATGTGGTCATTTAAGATATTTCTTGGAACATTGTTCAGTGTGACTGCTTTCGTGGAAGAGGCTCTTCTATCATACCACATGGAGTAGCAGATTCCCAAATCCTGCTTGCTGCCACTCCTGTCCACTAAAGACTTCTCATGGGTTTTACTACACTCTTATCCTTTTATTATGACATTCCAGTCAAGTGAAGCCAAAATCTTACTTCTGATCTTACATGGCTGATCTTGGATGAATACACCCCAAGTATTTTGCAACTCAAGGAGGTACTGTATGTAGGCTGCTTTATGATATCCAGAGGATCTATACAGTAACATGGTCCTATGACTGTCACCTCACACCAGCTTTTCTTGCACCCATTAAGAATGTGGCGATATTGTTATTTGTACAATAACAAAATAAATATAGCATTTTACTTCGTCTTTTAAGCTGGTCCATTTCTTATTATTTTTATTTTCATCTTATTATAACAAATACAAGAACATGCCATTTAATATCCGCAGTGCGAACAGAAGTCAAGCATACTAAGCTGCATCTTTGCAAATATGGTTTTTGTTATGCTTTCACTTACCTGAGTTTGACAACATGTGTTCTGATAAACTCACTTTTTAAATCTGATTCTCGGAATGCATTAGTAATCTGTAGAAAGAAAATGGGAAAGTAATCTCACTGAAATTGCAGTCTCTTCTTTCTCTTTAATGACTCTGTAACATGGGTCGTACACGTTGAGAAGTAGAAATCTATCAGATGAGGTCAGGTCAGGTTTGTCATGGATAGCATAGAACCAATATAGGCCGATAGAGTAATCTTCTGATGTGGGTTCTATTTCACAGCTATTAAGCAAAGAGGATCTAGACAGGGCATGACTTCAATACAAATCTCCCTAACTACATCAAATGTTTTACTTTAAGAGATCTTATGATATATGATTTGCTAGTTATGAATGAGGAAGTTGGGGTAAAACTCAAGTCAACATTAGGGAAATCCTTCCACACAACGTGATATGTGTGTGGTTCACAATGTCTGTGTTTCAAATGGTTGAAATCAGGCTAAGGTTAATTAGTGATTAATTAGATTATTAAGGCTGATTAATGATGAAAATCTGAAGGGAAGATGGAAAGAAGCAAAGAACAGTGTTTCCCTGTTAATTTTTTTTTTTGATTCTAGACTAATCTACAGTCATTACTTACAGCATTTGTTGATAATTTCTTGATCTAACAACCTTAGCCTTTTCCTAGGAGAGGTAGTTGTCTTGTCAGTTAACAAGGAACATTTTGTCAGAGTTCACAATATGGTTCAAGGTCAGGTATATTGTGCTTTTATAATAGGAAATGGATTGCTTTCACTTATATGATGCGGTTGACCCCAGCGTATGAGGAGTTAGGCAGCGTGCTGGACATTATATTTATCCAGGAGTTGAAGTCAACTTTTCTTTAGCTGATAAAATTGATACTATTTCTATAATACCACAACTTTTAAAAGCAATTCCCATTAGCAGATTAATAGCACCAATGATGTGGAAAAAGTTTTGCTTTCCCCATAGACTTTAAATTTTCTTAAAAATAGTGTATTTTGACTATATTAAAATCATTTATATTTCCTTTTAGAAATTAAGGAAATTCAGCAACTTTAATGAAAAAAGCAAAAATCGCGGAATTATATAGTATGAAGTGAACGATTTCTATCATTTGGTGATCTGTATTTCCGTTATCTAAGTAAAAAGACATGGGTTACTATGTTTATTAAGAGTTTGAGTCATAATTGCTCCCTACCAGACTATCCAAATGGATTAAATTTTATACTCATTTGGTTTTATGATCTGTTTTTTGATATTTTTTAATAACATTGGGACAACTAAGTAAACAATAAAAAAGGGATTTTATGTGTGTCTTCACATTTTTACGTATTGTGTAGAATCTTAATAAAAACACTAAAATTACATTCATTTTAATGGTAAGGGGTATAAACATACTTTGTGATTTATGTTTTAGAAAATGTTTGAGAATAATTTAAGGATGACAAGGTTTAATATGTATGTATATATACATATGTATGTGTATATGTATGTATATATTCTAAGACATTTAAGTATTTTACAAAGATATATAATATTTCTTTTTTCTCTCATGCCTTTGTGTTGCTAAATATATGGTATTTCTTATGCCAGGTTTTTACAGTTAGCTTCTCTCAGTTCTGTGTGTGCTTGGTTAAGGTTGAGCTGACCTGTATCTGACCTGATCCGTCTGGAACTGAATGACCCCATTAAGACATCTGCTGTGTTAATAAGAAGCTGGGTCCTGATCCCCACAGTGAAGCTTGATCCTTTCAATATTTAGTTAAGCCCAGAAATGCTACATGGCATTATTGTGTAGATGGGGACTTCTCATAAGTAACTGTTTATGACAATCTCGCTCCAGGTTTAGATCATTGATAGCTCCAAGAACTTTTGGATGCTCATGCATTGAGCACCAACCAGACAATTTCTTAGTACAAATGATGCAACTGTACTCTCTAATTTTTAAGAATAGATTGAATGGAGAAAGCGCCAGAAAGGGAGTGTTGGTGTGCTCAAGGAGAGTTTAAGTACAGTGTTTGGAGCCTTTGTCCTTTGCATCATGTAAATGATGCCAGAGACATCTTGGATTAGGTTGCGACGATTGTGTTATTCATGACATAATTCTTAGTGTAGGTATGATTTAATTACAAGAAACAAAGATGCTTATTCATTTCCTACTGTTAGTCCTGAAAATTTAAGTACCAAAGTAATGCATTTTTGCATTGTGTATGTTGGAATGCTTGATTTTAAAATTGCTGTTTGAATGTCTAGTTTAAAGTTCATTAAAAAAAATACAAAAGTCAAATAAAATTTGGCTTGAGATTGAGAGAACTTCCAGTAATAAGCAAGTTCTGTGCTGGCTGGTTTTATGCCAACTTGACACGGTACAGTCAAGTGACGAGAGGGAACCTCAGTTAAAAAATTACTCAAGATCAGGCTGTAGGCAAGCCTGTGGCTGTTTTCCTTAATTTAGTGATTGATAGGAGAGTGCCAAGTCCAATGTGGGTGGTGTCACCCCTGGGTTAGTGGTCCTAGGTTCTATAAGAAAGCAGATTAATCAAGTCATGAGGAGCAAGGCAAAAAGCAATACTCCTCTAGAGTCTCTGCATCAGCTCCTGCCTCCAGGTTCCTCCCCTGCTTGAGTTCCTGCCCTCACTGCTTTTAATGATGAGCTGTTGTATGGAACTATGAGTAAATTAAACCCTTTCCTTCCAAGGTTGCTTTTGCTCATGGTGTTTCATTACAGAAATAGTGACCCTAAGATAGACCCTAAACATGCTTTAGCATTTTGTACTTATGTGGAATGTGTTATCAATGATAATTATCAAATCAAATTACCAGTTAATTGAAAAACCTTGCAGATACTTAGAATTTTGCTCTATCAAATATGCAGCCAAGATTAATATTTTATAAAAATAAACAATAATATCTACCTCATTAGTATGCAAATTGCTTTTATATTTAATAAATGGTATATATATATATAACTGGCATCAAGGTGATATATAAATTATTTATTCCTTTCATGGTGAACATATTTTTCTAGCACCTCTTACTTTACATGCTTATTTTAAAGTTATCTATGATTTATTGTCAGCAAATGTTTGATTTGTGTCTCTAATTTATATACTATATGTTGAGTAATACATAAATTTTTTCTGACAGTGGTGTGTGGTGATTCATGCCCTTTAATCGCTGTACTCAGAGGCAGAGACAGGCAGATCTTTGTGAATACAAGGTCAGTCTGGTCTACATACTGAGTTTCAGACCAGCCAGAGTTACATGGTGTGAACCTGTCTCATTAAAACAAACAACACACACACACACACACTAAACAAACAAAAAAACAAAACCATTTCTTAGCACAAAAGGAGTCACAACTGGAAAAAGGTTAAGAAACTCCACAGTGTTGTGTGGTCACAGGAACACATGCATGTTGAGAGTTTAATGGAGAAAACCTGACAGAGACCGAACAAAGCTCTTCAGGGAGACTTGTAGCTTGCTGTGTATTTTTTTCTGTTCAAACTTCTAAAGTTTGGCTCCCAATGAACTTCACCTCTAAGTTGTGTGACAAGTTGCTTATTCAGTTCCACAGCAATGATAGTGCTCACTGGAGATTAACTTCCGTCTCTCAGAGTGTGATATGTAGACACAGTGTCAGTACTACTTTGGAACTAGTTAAAAATGTATATTGGTGGGAAAGGGTGACCAACATTTATTGAATTAGAAGTTGAGTCAGAGGCCCAGAAATCTGAGGCTTGATGAGACTATCACTTGGCTGTGTTATATGTTAAAATTTCACAAGCTTTGGATTAATTTACATATTTAGATGTTTTCAAAAAGAAAAGGGAAAGTGAGCAACCTTAGACTGGTCAAATCTAACCCAGGCCTGAAAGCTAGCCAAGCTCCCTGTCGATGCAGGAGTGCCAGGTGTCTGCTTGTCAGGACAGGGCAAGTAGACAGAGACATCTTCATGCATGAGGCAAAGCTTGCTTTGAACGTTTCTGTTCAAAATATTAGGCCTATCATCACACCAGGTATCTGAACTGTCTTATTCCTTGTATGGCGAACTTATTTGTTTGTTTATTTATTTATTTATTTTTGAGGCAGGATTTCTCTGTGTAACTGCCTTTTCTGTCCTGTAACTTACTCTGTAGATCAGACTGGCCTTGAACTCAGAGATCTACCTACCTCTGCCTCCCAAGTTCTGGGAATAAAGACGTGCCATGATTGCCTGGCTGTGAACGTATCTTTTACACCTGCTACTTTACATGCTTACTTGAATAATGAAAGAAAAAAGAAAGATTGAAATAAATATAAAAGGGTGGTCTCAATCCTTAACCACACAAACAACAGATTTCCTATCTTTGAAGTCATAATCAAATAAAATCCATATTCTTTATTGCCTTCCTACTTTGTTACAATCATGACACGAGAAAATATGAATAAGAACTAATATATTGGCAAAAAATTAAATCAGAGAAAGCCGAGAAACAAATTTCTCACTTCTCAAGGTTATTCATTCGGTAACATTATTATATGAAAATATTATTATCACATTAGGAGTCTTACTGTTTTCATTTTATGCAGAAATAAAAAAGAAAATTAAGCCTTAACCTACCATCGACTCGATCCTTTCACTCAAATGCCTGTGCTCTTGCGTAGCCGGGGAATTTAGCGCCTCAGTGTATTCAACATTTAGGATTTGAAAGCTGCTATGGTAGAAGTAGGCTTTTTTGTCTGGAGGAAAAACGAAGGCAGGATTATTTACTCTAGTGCTGCTAAGGAGATTAACTTTTAGAGAAAGAAATGTCTGTACTTAATATAAATGTAGCAGAATTATTTTATTTTGAGTTTTCAAAAGACTGGCAAAGCTAAGATTGTTGAGGTAAAAGAAGTAGGCCTAGCATTAATTGGATCTTTTAAAGTTGTACAGAAATACTATGATTTTTTTTATTATTACATCTACATAATATTTTGTTTTACTCACTCAGTAAACATTAATATAAATTTATGGTATGTGATTATTCATTGGTCAAAAACCAATTCAAGTAAGGGAATGGTTTTAAATTATCAGATATTCTTTTTTAGAAATTAGTTATTTTATATGTGTGTTGTATATGTGTGTATGCCCTTATGTGCTTGCATATGTGTGTGTGTGTACAGATCAGTGCTAAGTGTTTTATTTTTTTATCTGACTTAGGTTTTTTTTTTTTTTTTTTCGAGACAGGGTTTCTCTGTGGCTTTGGAGCCTGTCCTGGAACTAGCTCTTGTAGACCAGGCTGGTCTCGAACTCACAGAGATCCACCTGCCTCTGCCTCCCGAGTGCTGGGATTAAAGGCGTGCGCCACCACCGCCCGGCCTGACTTAGGTTTTGACACAGTGTCTGGAATTCAACACTCCAGTTAGACTATTTTCTGGAAAACCCCATGATCTGCCTGCCTGTGCCCACTCCAGTTACACACCCATGAATCTTGCCTAGAATTTACAGGTGAGCTTGGACAACTGGTCCTACATACACTGAACAATCGCCCCAAGCCTTTAGACAATAGTTTTGTAGATGGATTATTGATCTGACAGTTTTCCTGGAATAAGAGAAACTTTTTCAGAGCATGTCTAGTTCGGCTGCCTATAGTGAGGTATTTTTACCAAGAGAGTCTTCTGGAAAAAACATTCAGTGCAAAGATGTCAAGAATCCTTAAAATACACATATGTAAGAGAATTATGAATATGGACATAACTTAGCAGAACCTCTTGGGAAATTTTCTCTGTTCCTATGATCATATATGTAACTCATAGAGAAATAACTAGAATAAGGAAGAACTACTAACCCTAGGAGTAAAGTAGTTCACTAAATCAGGGTGGAGCAAGTAATTTGTAGTTCATAAGTGATCATGAGGTTCTGACTGGAATATGATTGCCTGGGTATCTCTTTTCCTTATTTATGTTTGAGAATGTGGTGTCCTTTGACATTCATTAACTTAATATGAAGCTCAATGATAACTTCCTTTTTTGCATCTATAATTTATTTGGTGGCTAACTTCATGTAATTTGGTAGTAGGATGTTGAGAAAAATACTACTTAGTTATAGCCTTTGTATCTGATTATCTGGAATGATTATTCCTCATTACTGGTTCTTTTTAGCATTGATAATTTTATTTTTGATCATTTTTGACTTTTTATAATAGGACATAGCATAAATTGTGCCTTTTCCTTTTCTATTCATATTCATACATATTTATTTGCATACCATATATGAGGGTTGGCATAATTATTTCTAAAACAAACTCAAAATGTATTTTAAAGGAAAGTTATGTTATCTAACAATATGTTTTATGTATTAAAACTCCTGAAATAATATTAAGCCTTATATTATTTATATCATTATATAATTACCATACATTATGGTACATAATATGATTAATTTTGTGCATTAAGACTTCTGAAATAATGTTTACCAGGATTTTAAAGAAATCTGTATGCATATTTTTTGTATATTACTTTTTCTTGTACTAATGATATAACATAAACTGTTTTAAAGGCTAACTAATACTAAAATCATCCATCTTACTTAAATTTGGCATTGACGCTTTGTATTTCCCAGTATCAGGTAAACTTATCTACTGAGCACAGTAGCAGTTTAGCTTGTGAGACTGCTTTTAGGAGACAGCAAGGCTTAGCAAACACTTAGGCACATCTGAATTTCATGCGACGAAACTCAAGGTTGTTTGCAGTATTTTGCTTTCATGATTTTATCAGGCTATTAAATGAAAAAGACAGGAGAAGCAGGGAGGGGAGCAGAGAAAAATGTAGAGCTTAATAAAAATCAATAAAAAAAAGTAAAAGACAATCGTGGTGCTAACAAAAGCAAAGTTATTCAATGTTAGCAGGAAAGAAGTAGCGAGCAATTTTATTCTTCAGTCTAGAATGTTTCTCATCTATGCAACAATGTTCGTTATATTAAAATGGTAGGCTTTATTTGGGGTCTCGTTCTTCTTTCCCCTTGGTCCTTTGAGCACTGACTGGACCACAAGGGCAAAGGAAGCAGGAAGAGCAAGCAGGTCCTTGTCTACTCTGTGGTATGAAGGAAGTAGCCTTCCGGAGACTGCTTCAGTGTTGCAGCTCAGCTTTAGCCCGGAGTTAGGGGGATATAAAGGCTGAGGAAGTGACTGGGCATTAAACAGCATGTGGCTATTAGAAGGCTCCTTATGTGGCAGCAGGGTTCTATAGAAAACTCCTAGCCTGATGTCAGAATACCTTATGGGCAGCAGGGGGAAAGTCTTTACAGGGAACTGTGTCAAGGGCCACACTAGAGATGAGTCAGGATCTGCAGGGAACTCTGTCAAGGGTCACACTAGAGATAACTCAGGCATCTCCAAAGAAAGTCAGGTAGAGAGCAGGAAGCCTTCTTCCTGGGAGACCTACATGTTCCCTAGCTTGGAGAGAGCTGCCAGGACACAGCAGGCTGCAACCTCTGACCAGCAGGGCCGCCCAACATTTATTCAATGGTTAGTTTGGAGTTTTTGAGAGGGTGTTTCACGTAATCCAGGATGGCCTTATATTCTCGATATAGCCACAGAGTATTTTGAACTTCTGGTTCTCCTGCTTCCACTCACCAAGTAGTGGGATACTTTGTATATTTTAAAAAGCCAAACTATTACTCCCCTTCCCCCCAAAAAACCAACCAAACCATAAATCAAATTAAAATACTCATTGAGAAGAAATGTTGATACATATGAATATATACTTAGAGAAGAATTCTAAACAGTATTACTGCATGTTCAGAAATAGATATAGAGGAAGGACTACGTTTTTAATCTGAGATACATTTCATTATTTAATCTGAAAGGTACTTACCAAAAGCTAAGAAGTGAATAAGGAGACCTACAGTCATGGCCAGGAGCAATACGGTTGTTATGACAACGAAAGCTACTATGAACGGACTGAAGAACCTTGACCGTGGTATCACTGATCTCGGCCTGAGAACAGGAATCAGAGAAAAGAAAACCACTCAGTTCACGTGGAAATGCACACTCTCACTGTCCATGGCTGTCTTTCTGAATCTCTTTGCTTGTCCATGAATATAATAGAAGCATAGTTGTAGGAATCCAACCTGAACCCACCAGGATGTTCTTCATACTTCCAGAATTTTCTCTCTTTTTTCTGTCATAGAACTTTTTTTAAAAAGTAGTTTGGTAGAATAATAATGTCATCTGGTTACACCTATGGTGTAAAATTACTTTATCTTTTACTACCAGTCAGTGTTTTTGGGGGTTTTTTATTTGGTTGTGTTTTTGAGAGAAGGTCTTACTATGTATCTCTGGCTGGCTTGGAACTGCCTGTGTAGACCAAGTTGGACCGAACATATAGAAATCCACCTGTCACTGCTTCCCGAATGCTGGGACTAAACATACGAACACAATTGCTGTGCTTTTAAGATCAACCACTAAAAATTCTTTCATACTGCAAGGCCTTCCGAGCTCCCAAACCTGGTGCTATCACAGCAATCCATCTTAACTCGGGTCATTACCAAGGGTGTGCTGAGAGACCACATTGAGTGTGAAGGATGAAAAAGGAGAAAGGTGGGGCGGGTGAGGTTGAGGATTAGAACAATAACTTCCTTCAAGATGTTACTGCAATGTGTTACTTCACATTATTACAGATGGCAACGTGGACAAGGAAAGTGGCAGAAGCCACCATGGTTCACAACCTTCCTCATACTACGACCCTTTAATCCAGTTCCTCATATTGTTGTGACCCCAACCATAAAATTATTCTTATTGCTGCCTCATAGCTGTAATTTTGTTACTGTTATGAATCATAAAGTAAATATGTGATATACAGGGTATGGTATCTCTAACCCTTGTGAAAGTGTCATTCTAACCCCAAAGGGTTGAGGACCACTGGATTAGAGCCTCTCCAACAACAGATGATGCAGGTGATTTTTTTTAATTTTCAACTTCTTAAGCTACAGTACAAGCCAACCAATTTGTATTAATATACTATCTCATTTTACAGTAGGAATATCACTTATAACAATTTCATTCACTGTCTTCTTTCCTTCAGGAGAGTCATGGCCATGGACATCCATCCCATCGGGAGGTCACCAGGGCAGCTCCTTGTTTGGGTAGTCATTGTAATGATCTCCCCCACTGCTGAGACAGGCTGATCTTCAGCTTCTGGGCTGAATTCCTTCTCTCTCTTGAAAAGGCAGCTTCTGCCTCTCCCCAGTTCTCCCCCTCCACCTTCTGTCTCTCCCTTCTCTCTCCCCTTCTCTCTTCTCTTCTCTTCTCTTCTCTTCTCTTCTCTTCTCTTCTCTTCTCTTCTCTTTTCTATCTCCCCCTTCTCTCTTCTCTCTCTCTTTCTTCTCTCTCCTCGCCCCCCCTCTTCTCCCCTTCTCTCTTCCCCCTCCATAACCCACTGAATACAAACATCCAACCTCACTCTGCATGGTGTGCCTATCCATGTCTCTGTCTCTTGCCCACTGCCTGTCTCCCTGCCCTGAACCAGCCACCACTCAGGGACCTGCAGCCATCCCTGCCTGGGACTTGCTGCTCTCAGGGCCTGCTGCCTGCTGCTTCATGGCCTGCTGCCACGTTTCTGCTGCCTGCCACGGCCGGGGATCCTCAGTATTTTTTAATTTTACCATTGCAGTCATGTTGTCATTTACCTAAAGAAATGGGAATAACTGTGCCTCCCTCACAAGGCTCTTTGAAGATAAGATGAGGTTATTTAATAGAGAATAAAAGTGTTTCTAGTTAAATAGATTTACCTGTGAATTCTTTCAGAATCGATGTTTTCCATGCACTTGTTTCTGATGCACTAGCCTCTAGAGGGGTCAGGTGTACTTCGGGGTTTTGTAAATTTTTATATTATAAATATCTAGTGCACGTTCAAGCTCCTGGGTGTATTTCATATTTAAAATCCTTAACAGAACTTGGGTTCAATTACATTTGGCCAGATTCTATTCTATTTTTTCCTATTTGCTTTTGGACATTCTGAGGTGAGAAAGGAATAAATATTCTAAGGTGATCATTGGTTTCTTGACTTAAGGTTTCAAGAGAGGGTGGCCCTGCAGTGCCTGAATTATGTCCAGATAACAGATTCATAAATGGTTCTCTTCTCCTTGTTGCAATTAATTCTTTGTGTATTATGTGCTGTGGATGGAGCCAGTAACTTTCTAGAAGATGGAAGTGAATGTAAATTTGCTAACTTGCATTCTTATTGACTAGATACATTATAAATTACAAATACAGTCCTGATCAAACCCATAATTTAATAAGTGTGTTTTAATCCATCTTGTAGGAAGGAAGTTACCCAAGAATAATGCAAAAAAGAGAGATAAAAGACATAGATTTCTCTTTCTAATCAATTCTACTTCATCTGGTTTATTTTGCTGTACTGGTGAAAGCAGGCTTTCTAGTCCGACAAGTGGGAGAAGGCTGGAATTTTGTCATTTACTAACTCTTTGAGACTCAGTGGATTCACTTGTCCCCTCAGCACTGTCACCTCAGGGGGTTGTGCCAATTACATCCTACAACAGGTTGCAGTACTGGGTCTGGAGTGAAATAAAAGGAAATCAAAAACAAGGAGTAAGCTGAAGGTCAACCAAGGCTGATCATTGAAAACCAAAGGTTGGGTATAGCAGAACGTTTTCTCTTTGGATCAGTAGTGTTTAGTTTTACCCTAGATATCTGAGCTATCAAGTCTCTGGTCTGTGGTTGCACAATGTCCAGGATGGGTTCCGTCTCATGGACCGGATCTTAGATTAGCTGGTCACTCCCACACATTCGGTGTCACCAATGTCCTAGCATATTTTGCAGGTAAGGTAGATTGTAGGACAAAGGGTTTGTCGCCGGGTTAGTGCACACTTTATTTTTCAGTACTCTGATGAAAACCTTCCCTTACTGAAGACATTAGAATATAGGGGTGAGGACTCCAGTGGCTTACCCAGTCATAATCAGAGAGGTTTCCTCTGGGAGTAGGTGGGTACAGATGCAGAGACCCACAGCTAGATGCTTTGTGGAGAGAGTCTATATCGGAGATGTCCATCAAATTCCTACCCTCAGAGCTCATGAATTTCCATGGAAGAGGAAGCAGAATGATTGTAAGAGCCGGAGGGATGGAGGAGAACAAGGCCCTCTGAGTCAATCAAATAGAATGCATATGAGCTCACAGCCTCTGAAGCAGCAAGCACAGGGCCTATGTGGGCCTGTATCAGCTTATATATAATATAAATATATAATATGTAATAAAATTTATATAAAATAGCATTCAGCTTCGTGTTTTTATGGGACTCCTGACTGTGAGAATGAATGAGCTAGAGTCAGACCTCTGACTCTTGTGCCTGCTCTTGGAACTCTTCCTCCTGTTAGGTTGATGGGTCTAATTTTGATAAGATAGTTTTGCGTCATCTTTTATTTTTGTCATGTTTGATTGATGTCTCTTAGAAGCCTGTTGTTTTCTAATGAGAGACAGAAAGAGTGGATCTGGCAGGGAAGAGAGGTGGGAAGGACCCTAGGAGAGTAGAGGGAGGGGAAACTATAATCAGAATGTATTGCATGAGAGAAGAATCTATTTTCAGTAAAAGAAAGAAAAATACAGTAAAATTTTTTAAAAATAAAAGAAAACAAAAAGCAAAAATTGGAGTCAGTACATGCCTCCATTTACATGAGTCTCACCTCCCATGGGAATGACTCTGGAGCCAACTTTGCCTTAAGTTCACTGAAGACACCTTGAAAGGAGAAACTGAGAAGCACCATAAGATAGATGACTCAAGAAACAAAGGGTGTGGAGCCTAAGTCACCTTAATCTCTCAAGCGACAATTACATAAGAATTGATTGTTCCACCCTGAAGAAACAGCTGAGGAGGGATCTGCTATGTTCCTCAGAGGTAAATCTCAGTGTGCTGCTGAGACGAATTTTAAGCTTCATAAACTTATAGAAATGACGTCACAGACATTGGCTTGAAGTCTGACTTATAATGTAGTTGAGGTCTGTGTCAGGAAAAAATGTGCTTTTAGTTCAGAATCTAGACCAGCAGGATTTTCAGCACTTGCGTTAAAACAGAAAAACAAATATTCAGTTGTAATTTGATTACCATGATGGCCCAGCTTTCTGTACCCTAGTTAGCTGCTTTTGTGACAGGCACCACATGTGGGCTGCTAGCTTTCACAACAGTTTCATGAAGTCACTAATAGAGTCCATTCTGAACAAGGGAAAGTGATGCTTAATAAGTAAATTCTTCTTGATCAAGTGTGGCAGAGCTGGAAATGGAAACCAGGAAGGCTTCAGGGAAATAAGACAAACTTCTTTACATTTATGTCCTGAGTCACCAACACTTCAGAGGACAGAAAAGTGCTGGGCTTCTTGTCTCTTGTGATCTCACTTTGGGAAAAACAAGGATAATCAAATCTCTTGATTACATTTCAAATATCTAGAATTTTGTCTTACACGTGATATGTATGTATCTTATTGCATAGGAAATATACAATATAGGAATTGATTTAATTTTCATTTGAAAAATATGTCTTAATATATTATATGAAAACATTAACTTCTGCCATTGATACATAGATATACCTAATATTTTGCTATGGATTAATAAATTTGATAATTAATATTATCTCCAAGAATAGAAATGTACTTATTAGATCAAATATGCATAATGCAAATACTGAACATTTTAACACTTTTATGTGCATTTTTTTATAAATTTATTTATTTATTAAAGATTTCTGTCTCTTCCCCGCCACCGCCTCCCATTTCCCTCCCCCTCCGCCAATCAAGTCCCCCTCCCTCGTCAGCCCAAAGAGCAATCAGGGTTCCCTGTTCTGTGAGAAGTCCAAGGAACCCCCACCTCCATCCAGGTCTAGTAAGGTGAGCATCCAAACTGCCTAGGCTCCCACAAAGCCAGTACGTGCCGTAGGATCAGAAACCCATTGCCATTGTTCTTGAGTTCTCAGTAGTCCTCATTGTC